CAGAAAAGCTGTTCCTCATACTCCTGCACCAATTGGTCACTTGCTGATGGCTGGTTGGGGACTTTCAGCTCTGTGCATGTGTGGGCTGAGGTCCAGGAGCACTCTGGTAGCCCTCCAAGAAAGCTGATGTGAGCTTTGGAAGCAAGAACACACAGAAGCTGGGCGGGGGAGGGGGTGGTCACACAGTAATGCCAGGCAGAACACTGGCAATCTCCACTACACCAAGAAAAAATTTAACATCTCATGAAACATAGTATTAATATAAATCTAATTCTATCTTCTTAGAAATTCCAGTAACATGGAATATTAAATGAGTGCTTCTAGAGAGAGACCATCACTGTTTAAGATTTAACTCTTTTTAAAATGCACCCGTTGGACCACTCTCCAAAGCTGTGTAGCATGAATACTTCACTTGGTGACAAGGCTGGCGTTAGGATGGCATGCTGAGGGCAGCTGGGACAAAGGACATGGCACTTGATGGCTGTTTGGCTAGCTGAGGCCAGGATAGTTATACTGTCCCTCCCTGCTTATAGAACTCCGATTTCTAATGAGGACTAAGTTCTTATTATTTTCATCTTGCCCAAATTATTATCTAAGGGTCCTGGGGAGTCAAGCCCTACAAACCACAAATTCTCATCAGATGGGTTTTATTTAACCCTGTATATCATGACTTACTTTCCAACCTGACTCTGGCATACTGAAGCAGCATTGTTGTCTGGGGTTGAATGCCTGGGGTTTGTTGTCTCATGCCAAGAAAATTAAGGACACAGACACACACATGGAGTGGGCTAAGGAAAAGAATTTAAAAGTCAGAAGACAGGAGACAGCAGAGCATCTCTCTCTCTTGCAAGAGAGGTGTATGAAAAAAGGAAAAATGGCCGACTGCAGCAGATTTTATAGGCATGGCTGGTGGTGTCCGATTTACATAGGGCCCACTGATTGGTTCGGCCAGGTGTGATGTCTACATGGTGTGTGTGGAAGGCTGGTCACCCCACCCTAATCATAATATGCAAAAGGCCCCTTGGCCATGTGTATAATAAGGAGCTATCTTGTCTGCTCCTTATTATACACATGGCTGGCAGAGAAGGGAAGATGAAACCACCATTTTGAACATGATTGGCACAACTACCAGCATCTATTTCTGCAGCTTGATTTTACAGGCTGCTCTTTGTTAGAAAGGAAAATGATTTAGGCCTGCTTTTCATTAAAAGGAAAACCTTACCAAGGACTGCCTCACTATCTGCCTAAGTAATTTTTAATTCCCATATCAATAACATTATGAAACAAGGAAGAATAAAAATACTTGACTCCAAACCATGTTTCTTTGCCATGTCTTGAAATGGCTCTGCAGAGCTGCCCTTTGTGGGGAAAATTTTCATCTGTGAGGAATCTCTATTAACATAACTAGATATTTTTCTTCCAGGCCTTCCCAATCCTAATGAGGTTAACTAAAAGTCTGGCACCTTAAAGGTCAAATAGGAAACATTTGTCATCTATTGTCTCTCAGGACAGGTACTATAAGAGTTCAAAAGAACCTTGGTTTCCATAATCTTTTATCTTAACCTGAACATTTCCTTTCTATGGATCCCAGGTTTTTAGACAAACTCAACCAATTGTCAGAAAATGTTTAAATTTACCTATATCCTGGAACCCCGTCCCCCTTGAGTTATCCTGCTTTTCTGGAACAAACTAATGTATTTCTTAAATGTATTTGATTGATGTCTCACGTCTCTCTAAAATACATAAAACCAAGCTGCACCCTGACCACCTTGAGCACAAGTTCTCAGGACCTCCTAAGGGCTGTGTCACGGGTCATGGTCACTCATATTTGGATCAGAATAAATCTCTTCAAATATTTTACAGAGTTGGACACTTTTTGTTGACAGTAACTAGTGGCTTTGGCTTTATGACGCTACAAGAGGCTGAAGAGACTGCAAGAGACACTAGAGAAATTCTTTTTTAAAAAAGGGATCTACTTTTAAGAAGAAGTATAACTGAGAAGAAGGGAAGTAAAACTTTTTTATTTGTTCTAAAACAAAACCTACACATAACAGTAATGTTGCCCTTCGAAATAGCATCCTCATTCCAGGAACCCTCATTCCAGCAGAAGAGTAGCCATTGGAACTGTTGTGAGCCAGATAAGGCAATCAATATTTTACTTTAAAGTTACACCTTGATTCAGTTTCAGAAACGTGAAATGAAATGTGGTAAGCTGTCTTACTTACTAGATATCACTCCAAATGAATGATTTGAGTTATTTACAAGTTTTTGTTTTTAAAAAACCTTCATGATTGAAAAATTCAATGAAAAATTTCCTCCACTGAAGACATCATTTAGGCCCAGAAGGCATTAAGCAGAAGTGCCGTTATCTAGATATTAAAGGCCCTAAAGTACTAAATTAGAATTACTTGGATATTTCATGTAAATGTGGATTGTCTTTTCTTTTCTTTTTTTGCCCAAATTATCCAGGCAATTTACTGGTTTTCTTCTATAGCGCATAGTGTGTTATGTCTTTGTCTTAGTTAGCTCATGTTACCATGTATGCAGTTTTTTCTGCATTGTAGTTTAAAAAGTAACCACATAAATTATACAGCAAAAAGGCTCACATCTACTAGGAGCATGGCAGGAGCACAAACTTCAATTGGACTTCCTGTCAAAGTCGATGCTTTCATGTTCATGGACATAACATTGCTCCTGGATGTTTGTGGCCACTAACTAAGGCTGAGAGAAGATGAATTAAGGGTCAAATGCACTCTTTGCGTTCATGACCATTGTGCAGTAAAATCTATTGTGAGTTGAAGGTAATTAATACCATCAGTACCTGAAGGTATTATACCTGTAATACCTGTGCAGTAATTAATACTGTGGTATTTGTCAATTACACAAGAACACACAGAGTTGTAAAAATGTTAAAAATAGTTAAAACTTGATGGCTTCTGTCACTGTATCTCTAAAAAAGAAGGAACAAAAGAGGCAAAATTCCTTGTGGTTGTATGACGAGAATGCCATTCACAGAAGGACCTGCTAAGGTAAGCAGATAAAGGACATAGAGCTGGAAGTAATTTAATTCCATGTCTGTTGCAGGTAGAGCATGCTTTATCTGAAATGCTTGGGACCAAAAGTATTTCAGATTTTGTATTTTTCTTGAATTTTGGAATACCTGAATATATATACTTGGGGACACAAAATTCGTGTATGTTTCATAGATACCCTATACATATAGCCTAAAGGTGATTTTATATAATATTTTAAATAATTTCCTGTAGGAAACAAAGTTTAAGCACATTGGCCCATTGGAAAGCAAAGGCATCACTACCTCGGCCACCATGTGGACAACCTGTGGTTGTTGGGCATCACCCTCATGCTGTGTGCAGAAAAGACATAACACAGCTATAGGGTGCTGGAAGGGTTGTTTCTCCCTGGGGAATGTCAGATAAGCTGTATATTTTGCACATGCAATTTAGAAGTCAGATGTGGAAATTTCCATTTGTGGCATAATGTCGGTGCTCAACAAGTTTCGGATTTAGGGGCATTTTGGATTTCAAATCTTTGGATTAGAAACGTTAATGTACCTGCTTTTTGAGAGTTCATCACAGCTTGGGGAATGGAAAAAACTCATTTGACTAAAGGAAAAATAACTGATATAGTAGCACAAACATTTCAGAATTATAGAGGTAAACGAGTCTTGGAGAGGGAATCTATTACCTTTCTCTGACTTCAAGAACAGCCATTCTAATGAGGCAGTTATGTTTTATATGATAATATCTACTCTAGGGCAGAAGATACTAAAACTTATTTGGTAATGCATTTCAAACTCTAAAAACTAAGAAATATACTAATACTCATGCTTCTATTAACACCAATTTTTTTATTACTAATGGAATTGATGATCAATTAATCATTGTCATATGAATAATTCTCCTACTTAAAAAAGGACATTCTTAAGTCATTCTTCAGCTTTTTGTTGAGCCTGGAGATAAATCTGGGTGTAATTTTTTTACTCTTTAAACAATCTTTTTGGTTCTTTTCAAAGACTCAGTCATCTTAAAATAAATCTGGTTTTAGTTAATATGCTTCAAATTGTTGTTGATAAATAGAGAATTGACACTACTTATTCCTTCTCATATTCTGGTAGCATTTTCTAGAAAGCTGGCCAAGTTTTAGGAAGAGTGTTGTATCCACAAGCTGAGAGAATAATTGGCCAAAACAGGGACTAAATCCACAATTATGTTTTTCTTTATACCATGTCTAATAAAATAAAATAGAATATGTGAGGCAAGAAGACTTTAAGGAAGAAAGAAGAGGAAAAGGGGTCACAGAGTTTGTAGAAGAAATATTTAAAAAAATAAACACTTAGGAAATAGATGTTATACCTTTATTCTCACCTGTGGGGCTGGGGCTCTGAAAAGTTAATGGGAAGTATTGGTGTTTCTGTGCTGATGAGAGTGCTCATTAGAGAGAGGATAATACAAGAAACAAAATACAAAAAAAGCAGGTGAGAGGGCACAGGATCCAGGTAGAGGGGGACTAGATTTTGGTAAAGCAGTAATAGTGAATTCAACATAGCTGAAGAGTTGCAGTTTGGGTACTGAATGCGGTATGAATTGATAGATTTGATGGTAGAAAGTTGATGGTGACTGCTTCTATGATGTCTCTAAATGTTACACATGAGAACAGTTGGAAAGGTGAGGGAGTAGGAGATTTGGGGGTAGAGAAAAAGATATGAGCTAGTAATTTAGGGAAATAGAAAGGTGAACAAACTAGGCATGTGTGGTAGATTGCCTATTTGAAGTTGGTGGTCCTGGATATAAAGTGAGATCAATCAGCATAGTTCTTAGGTGGTCAGGGCAGTCTCAATGTTAGTTGTTGATGTTTTCTTTGTGTGTATTATCATTTGAGAGATCCCTTTTTTTGCTCATTGGCTGTTTGGATAACCTCTGGACTTGCTCAAAGTGTGGAGGGAATGTCCAAGCCCACCGCTCTCTGGAATCACAATCTTGGACCGTGACGTAGCTGATAAGAGATAATGAAATTGAAGGAGTTGCCTAGAGAAGAGAGAAGCCGTTTTTCTCTGAGCTGGAGTATGCTCCCTACAAGCTGAAGATAAGAGAGCTGCAGGGAGGCCAGCTTATAGGTCAAGAAGCAGGAAGAAAGGGCCTTAGGATAAATAGCCAGCTCCAGCTTATCCTAGACAGCAAGGCTCCATCCTATTGTTGATTCTGGGAGTAAAATGGTTTCCCTGGTTACTGGAGCCTGTTTATTCAGTCAGGCCAAAGAGGCAAGTATGTTCACACCATGGTAAGCATACAACAAGCTTTTGTTTCAGTTTTTTTTTCCTGTGTGGCATAATTTTATTTTGTTTTTTAACTTTTATTTTAAGTTCAGGGGTACATGTGCAGGTCTGTTACACAGGTCGACTTGTGTCATGGGGGTTTGTTGTACAGATTATTTCATCACCTAGGTATTAAACCCAGTATTCATTAGTTATTTTTCCCAATGTTCTCCCTCCTCCTACCCTCCATCCTCTGAAAGGCCCCAGTGAGTGTTGTTTCCCTCTATATGTCCATGTGTTCTCATCATTTAGCCACTTATAAGTGAGAACATGTAGTGTTTTGTTTTTTGTTCCTGTGTTAGTTTGCTAAGGATAATGGCCTCCAGCTCCGTCCATGTTCTTGCAAAAGACAAGATCTAATTCTTTTTTGTGGTTGTATAGTATTCCATGGTGTATATGTATCACATTTTCTTTATCCAGTCTATCATTGATGGGCATTTAGGTTGACTCCATGTCTCCGCTGTTGTAAATAGTGCTCTAATGACCACACACATGCATGTATCTTTGTGTATATATGTATTTATTTATATTTTTTGAGATGCAGTCTTCCTCTGTCACCAAGGCTGGAGTGCAGTGGTGTGATCTCGGGTTGCTGCAACCTCTGCCTCCCAGGTTCAAGCAATTCTCCTGCCTTGGTCTCTCAAGAAGCTGGGACTACAGGTGTGCACCACCACACCCAGCTAATTTTTATATTTTTAGTAGAGACAGGGTTTCTCGGCCAGGCTGGCCTTGAACTCCTGACCTCAGGTGATCCACCTGCCTCAGCCTCCCAAAGTGCTGGGATTACAGGTGTGAGCCACCATGCTCATCAGTATGTGTCTTTATAATAAAACAATGTATATTCGTTTGGGTATGTATCCTGTAATGGGATTGCTGAGTCAAATGGTATTTCTGTCTTTAGGTCTTTGAGGAATTACCACCCTGTCTTCCAGAATGGTTGAGCTAATTTACACTCCCACCAACGGTGTATAAGTATTCCTTTTCTCTATGTCAGCATCTGTTATTTTTTGACTTTTTAATAATAGCCATTCTGACAGGTGTGAGATGGTATCTCACTGTGATTTTGATTTGCGTTTCTCTAATGATCAGCAATGTTGAGCATTTTTTCATATGATTGTTGCCTGAATGTATGTCTTCTTTGAAAAGTGTCTGTTCATGTCCTTTACCCACTTTTTAATGTTTTTTTTCTTGTAAATTAAATAAGCTTTTCTTCATACTTTCTATATCATCATATCATCTCAGACTTTTGTTTCCGTATAGCTGGGTTATTTCTGCTCTTTCTCCCCCATGGCTGCTTGTTTTCTTCCACATCCAGCCCTCTAAGTGGGGGGTCTCTTCTGAGGCCATCCTTGATTTTCTCCTATGATCAGTTTACACTCTCGATCTCTTAGGAAGGTGAACCATTCTTTTGGTTCTAGTGCTCTCTGAGTCTCCCACTTTGTGTTTCCATAGAGATAAACATCAGAACTTCAACATGTCTAAAATCAAAACATTTGCTGTCTCTCCTCCTGGGTTTACTACATGAGACCATGGAGTTACCATTCTCACCATCTTATAAGCTGGAAACTTTGGAATGTCATTACTTTATACTTTTCCTTCTCTACTACTTCCAGTCTACCTCCACCTCCTGTCCATTCTACCTACACAATATCCTTTTTTATCCATCCTCTCTTCTCCATCCCCTCTGCCATTTTCTTCAGACCTACCGCTACTCTCTCAAGGATTACTTTGTAGCATCCTAAGCTGTCTCTCCAGCACTACCCTCTCTCTGCTCAAAGCCTTTACACCATCACTGTGCAGTCATCCTTGGTGTACTAATACCATAGTGTTCTAATTGATCCTGCCTAATAAAGTCCAGAGTCCTTAACGTGGCCCTCATGGTCTTCAATCATCTGTCTCTAGTCTTTCCAGCCTTATTTTCTGTAATACATATATCCTTACCACATCAGTGGCACAATAAAACTCTCCCCAAGTATGCCCTATTCCCTTTTCTTTGTATCGCCTCTCATGTCATTTCTTCAATAATCACTTCCTTCTTTTCTCATAATCCATCCCCAGTTAGACATTCCTGGCTCCCCAGATTAACTGTAGATAGCATGACAACATTGTTTCTACCTATATTAACAATAAAAACATATAAAATATATAAAACATGAAAAAGAAAATGTAATTGGCTTAAAATGTTATGTATATAATTACATAGACGCACATATATAAAGTTTTCAAGCCAATCATGTTTTAGTTTTCCATTATAAAAGATGTTAGCACACTGAAAAAAATCTGGGAGATGCAGATAGAAGAGAAGGATATAGCTCATGGAATGATCAACATAACACAACCGCAATGAGGACACTAGTACATTTCCTTCTTTAGGTGTTTCTGGTTGAAATAATCATGCCCGACATGCCAGCAGGTTCCTTGGGCAGTGTTAAATACATCAGACTACCCCAACCAGCTGTTAAGTCTTGATTTGAACTCTTAGAGAGAACTCTTCTATTGGTGCTCTGATATTATTTTTATAAAAAGACTACATTAGTTTTGTTCGAAGCAACCAAATCCATAGATCCACAAAAGATAAATTTAACCGAAAGCTCAAAGGCTTGACTTTCTCACCTTATCCTAAGAAGACATTTTTGACAATTGTAACAGTCATCGAGGACTGCCATAACAACATACCACAGACTGACAGACCGGGTGGCTTAAACAACAGAAATTTATTTCTCACAGTTCTAGAAGCCGGAAGGCCAAGATGAAGGTGTCAGCTAAGTAGAGTTTCTCCTGAGGCCTCTCTCCTTGGCTTGCAGACAGTTCCCTTGTCACTGTGCTCTCACATGGTCTTTTCTCTGTGCATGGTGCATCTCTGCTGTCTCTTTCCTTTCTTACAAGGACATCAGTCATACTGGACTAGGGTCCCACCTTTATGAGCTCATTTAACTTTACCTCTGAAAGGTCCTATCTCCAAGTACAGTCATATTGGGTGTTAAAGCTTCAACATATGAATTTCAGGGGGACACAATTTGATCCACAACTGTGATGGAAGCTTTTACCTGGACCCTTTAATATAAGACAAATGTACTAATAGGGATCTCATTTTCCTCCCTTTGCTTTGCTAATAATTGGGGTTTTGGAATAAGAAAATGTAAAGTATCACCATAGATTTATATTAGCATCAAACCAGGAAGTTTATTTCACATGGCTGAATCTTCACATTGAAATTTGCCTCAGGCATAATTGTAAAAACTGCCCCCCCCCCCATCATTTTCTACTAAAGGGGAATCAAAGAATATCAGTTTCATTAACAGAATTTGGTTACAAATCACACTGATACTAAACGGAGGACAAGTGTCAGGTCTAGCAATGTGACAGCTGCTGTCACAGCTTTTCCCATCGAGTTTCCAGTCCATCCAGAAGAGCAGTATCTCCATTCCAGGAGATACGTTTATGTTGGATTTGGCATAGAAGGCAAATTCTGGTCTGATATGTGTAAGATGTTGACATTTCCAGAAGAAAGTCACAATGTGTTCTCTCCCAGGGTCACCAACAAGTTGTGAATATGGGACACAGCAGGGCATCTGTTCACCTCTACCCCAACATCTAGAAAGTAAAGTGAGTTGCACTACACAAGAAGCTTAGTGGATGTACTTCGTTGTCACAAAGGGAGGTGTTGATTATGGAGATTATGGAGAAACAAAGTCATGTACTCCTTGTCAGGGGGAGGGGTAAGACAGCCAAGAATCCGGAAAACAAAGGCTCTCAAAGGCAAGCCAGAAGACAAATCAAACACCCAAGTGATCACCCTGAAAAGAATAAATGTTTCAGTATAGCACTGATTCTTGCACTTGTCATTTCGCTTTGTGGATGCCCTCAGATTAGAAGCTTGATGTTGGAAGAGCCCCATAGGGATGACATCAGAAAGGAACAAATAAGGGCTGGAGCAGCAATCAACTATTTATCACAGGCCAATCCCAAGCACCTAGAAAAGGTCTATGTATCAGAGGCCCTGATATAGTTTCCAGCATTATGGGATTTGCTTTGCGAATCTAATTAAAGTGCTTACAATAAAGGCACTCAAACTGATGGGCTTATAATTGCTATGGGGTAAGGACAAGGTACATTATCCAACTTCCCAGAGGTCTTCAAACCTCATTTTACAGTTATTCTGCTTCTCTTTCCTTCAGAAATGTTCTATGAATCCAAAAAATACAAATGCATTGAATGATGCAAATTTTGTCTCCATCGTGTCTTGCCAGCTCTCTTAGTGAGGTGCTAATGAGCAATAAAATGGTCCCTAAACAGGCTTTTGTGAAGAGAAGGAAGAAAATCCAGGAACCAGGACAACACAAAGCTGAATCATCACTCAGAATGCGCTATAAATTACCTTAACTATCTTCTACAATACTGCCTGCAATATTAGGTTTCTCAATCCAGTTTTCACATGGTATCAAAATTATACCATTAACACTAGGCATTCCTCAGCAGAGAGGTTTATAGGCAACAGTGCTTCTTGTTTTCCTCTTTTTCCTTATAAACAGAAAACATGGAGTCCATATTTTCCCTATAAGATAAACATTATCTTATAGGGATTCACTTACCACACGGCTGTCTCTAAAATAACCCTGACTCAGGGTGTGGACATCATCTCATCCATTGTCATCACATTATTCTTTAAGTAACCACTTTCAGGGATAGAACTGTGCCAATGAGGTAGCAGCCAGGTCACATGGTGGTTTTAGTTTACTCTCTCAAACATGCAATTACAGTTACCAAAAAATAAGTGACTGTTAATGATGGATTCAATAATAGTGGGTGTGGAAGCACTTATAGTTCTAGGACTAAGCAGGGTTTTGCATCAAAAATGAAATCATTGAAATGATATTTTCTTTTAAATAGAGATGGACAAGCAGAAATGACTCACTGTGTTTTCCAACTGTACTCAAGACCTGGCTCTATACGCCCTCCTCCTCTGCTTGAGCAGAAGGCGAAAGAGGTTGTGGAGACTGTGGGATTTGGTGAGTCTTATGAATTTCTCAATGAGTCAATTTTCTGAAAACCGTAACTTATATTTCACGAAGTTTCAGTGTGACACAAAATTAAACTTATCTTCTATTGACTTTCATAGGCCATTGAACCTTGAAGGCAAATGCTCATTGACTTCACTATAACATCTGTGGGCGCTTGGCCAAGAAAGGCTAGTTAGGACCAGCCTTTATGCAAACACAGCTGAGGTATTTATCCTGCCTCTCTACATCACAAAAGAAGCATGGAGAACAATGGAGAATAATAGAGGTCAAGTGGAGCAGGAACTGCCCAGAATTTGGAGAAGAGATGCATATCAGTCCTGGCCTTGATCATTGGGCCACATATACTATATCCAAGTTGATATCTTCAATGTAGGGAAAGTTTTCTTGCCTTTCCCATGGGCTCCCAAGCCATTAACAATTCCTCCATTCAAAACATTTTCATTCACATTTCTGATTCATTTTGGGCTACAGGAACAACATATGTTGGGTACTTCTAGGGAGGAGAGCCATTATAGGTGGATGTAGATCTTACAAATAGAGAGGTAGAGAGCTTTCTCAAGACCTTTGGACCAAGCAAATCACATCACAAGGTGTACCTTATGCTAAGTGCCTGATATCTAAGACCCTCCACTAGCTGTCAGGCAGGCAGCATGCTTACAACATGACAGCTAGTCATTCAAGGTCAAGAAGAACATGAAGACCAGCCCACCCCTGAAAATGACTGGGATCAGGCTTAGCCTCACAATACTCTTATTCTGTCCCTAACAGTGTTTAAAAACACACTGCCTTAAGCAACAAGAAGAACTGACCATGTGTTCACAACAGTTCATTTCTTACCCTCTGCTGTGGCTTGACCAAACTGTAGTCAGGCTTCTCTCCTCTACAAAGATTCCTAGACTTTGGCTCTCCTTCGAGTCTAAGCAAGCACTGAACATCTGTAACAGCTCATCCCGAAAATCAACTGATCATAGAAAAAAAAAATAGTTCCTGTTGAAATATCCTCATTTTGCCACCTGCTCCCCCACATTCCATGCCCTTCTCCTCCACAAAGGTTTGGCTTGTCTTTCTCCTTCTGTAAAAAAAGAAGAGCTTCTTTCTATTTGATTTTGAGACACTTGCAGATATCTGAGGTTGGCATATTCCCCCATTGCAATAATCTTTTTGAGTAAAGTCTTTCCCTATCTAAGTCTAATTTGTCTTTATTTAATATCATACAACTGGATACTTTATAGAAATGAGAATAAATGAGCCACAAATATATGCAACAACATGGGTGAATCTCACAAATACAATGTGAAGCATAAAAAGGAAGAACTGAATGGCTATGTACTGTATACTTTTATTTATATGAAGTTCATAATAGGAAAAATGAATATAAATTGTTGAAAGTCAGGATAGTGGCTCCCTTTAGGGGGCAGGCACTGGAGGGGGACAAGGAGTGTTCCTAGGGTGCTGATAGTATTCTGTTTCTTGATCTGGAATATATTCTATTTGTGAAGAGTCACCTCATGACAGATGCATAATTTGGAAAATGTTCTATGTGCTCTAATTCCATAAAAATTTACTTAAAATTTAATCTCTTAGAATTTATAATTTATTTTTCTCAAACTTGTATGAAGCTAAAAAAAGGGCCTCAGTGGTTTCTAACTAACAAATGAATGCATGTCATTTACATATGTGACTTAAATAGTGATAAAGAATAAAATAAGTTAGCCCACAGATAACAATTTAATTATTAACATGCTAGCATGTTCACTATCACTTAAGGAACTGTCTTAATCTATTTGCATTGCTATGAAGGAACACATGAGACTGAACATTTTATAGAGAAAAGGGTTTATTTTAGCTCACAGTTCTGCGAGCTGTATGGGAAGCATGGCACCAGCATCTGCCTCTGGTGAGGGCCTCAAGAAGCTTCCAATCACATGAAAAATCAACAGGGAGCTGGCATGCACATGGAGAGACTAAGCCAGGTTTTGCATGTGGCTGAGGAGCAGGAGCAGGAGAAGGAGGGAGATGGTCCCAGACTCTTAAACAACCAGATCCCACCTGAACTAACTGAGTGAGAACACTCCTCGGGCAATGGCACTAAGCCATTCATGAGGAATCCACCCCATGATCCAATGCCTCTCACTAGGCCCCACCTTCAATGCTGGAGATCACATTTCAACATGAGATTCTGAGGGAACAAGCATTCAAACCATACCAGGAGCCCATTCAATTTCCTATCATAGTCTAACTATGTTTGTTAGATGTTTTGATGTTTAATACATTTAAAAAGTAAAAATATCAATTTGCAATAATCACAGCTTTTGAATATTCTGTGGGAGAAAAAATGTAGTTAGTACAGTAGAAGAATATCAAGGGAAGCTGCTTATCATTATCAAAAAATTTCATGATGACAGACTATGACAACACTAAATGTGTTTATGTTTAACTTAAATGTGAACTTTATCCTCCCTGGCTGGTTCTCTGGTTTTCCTGTGTCATGGTCACAGTAGTATAAATATCCTTGGAACTTTATTTTCTTATCTTGTATAGTGACAAAGAATAACAACTAGTTCAGTTACATTTTCAAGATACCTGTCATAACAATGGTCTTACTCTATTTTCTCAAGAAGTAATGTTTCCACTTACAACTTAATGTTCTAGGTATAATTTTAACCAGGGCTTTACAAAATGCACAGGGCTTATAATTTCCAGTTCCTAAACATTCTAGTGGAAGGATCGACTGTAGGTAAATGATAGGTAGTAATAAAATAAATTTAATTACAAATTATAATAAATGTTTTGAAGGTAAAGTACACAGGGCTGCAAGAATATATAGCGGGGATTGAGTTTGTATGTTTAAGAAAAATTATGCTGGCTTCAATGTGAAGATTGGAGTGTAAAGCAGGGAAATGCGTATATGAAAACCACCTGGGAGGCTTTTGTGTAATGTAGGAAAGAGGTGGTAATTTATGAAAGGGTTTGGCATTGGAGAGAGTGAGTGGATGAATTTGAGCCATTTGGGAGGTAAAAAGCTCTCACATTGTGCTTATACGTCACACTGTAGTTATGTAAAACTATTTGCAGGTCCCAGAAGATACTAGCTTTGTCTTGCTTTGTACCTGATGTTTCTTTCCTGAGTCGTCTTTTCTTTAAGGTTCCATCTAGCTATGTGTTACTCATCTTTCAGCACTCTGCCCTTCCATGGACTCCCGTGGCTTCCTGTTTTTGCCACTGTTGTCACACTTGTAACACAGCTTTTTTGACATCTGCTAACTGTTGGTCTGCATGCTAGACTGTTGTTAGCTTTTATACTTGAGGGCAATATTTTGTTTCTGTAGCACCAGCACTGGGTTCATGATCCAAACAGAGTAGTAGAAAACACATATGTCTTAAATTACAGCCCAGCCAGGTAGGATTATTGCAAACCCTTTTATAACTTCACTATTCTTTCAAAGAATCGATTTGGTTTTTAAAATTCTGTTATATGTTTTTGTGTTTCATTAATTTTGGCTTCTATCTTTATTAGTTCTTCCATTTTTGAGGGTTTTTTTTTTTACTAACTTATTGAGATGGATGTTTAAATTATTGATTTTTGGGCTTTATTCCTATCTAACATATATGTTTAAGGTTATAGATTTGCCTGTAAAATGTGACTTTAATTGAATTCTGCACATATGTTGATTATCACTAAGTTCAAAATATTTTTAAATTTGTTGTGGTCTCTTTTTTTGACCAAAAGGTCATTGAGAAATATATTTTATATTTTACAAACATGTGGTAATTTTCTAGTTATCTTTTTATGATCCATTAATCTGTGGTCATAGAATATGTGTGTTTTTACTCCTTTGAAATTTGTTAAGAATTGCATTATGGTCTAGCAATTTAAAAATTTTCTGCATGCATTTGAAAAGAATATATGGTCTGCAGTTGTTCGTTATTTAAATACATAAATTTTAACTGGATTGTTCAAATATTCTATATCATTACTTTTTTTTGTCTGATTGTTCTATCAGTTCCATAGAGGTATTTTTAAATCCTATAGCATGAATATGCATTTGCCTGTTTCTTCCTGTAGTTCCATCAGTTTTTGCTTTATATGTTTTTAGGCTATTTTACTAGGTGATGTAAAGTTAGAATTATTATATATAACTGTTAAATCCTCTTCCCATAATGTATCTCATTTTTGCTTTAAAGTGTATATATACATATATATTTTTCATATTAGTTTAGTTACATCAGCTTTCTTCTGGTTATTTATTGGTGACTAACAAAGTATCCATGAACATAGCCACTTAAAACAACAAATATTATTTCTAATACTTTAAGAGAATCAGGAATCTAGGTGCAGCCTAGTCTCTTATGAGGGTGTGGTCAGGATGTCAAATGGGTCTGCAGTCTTCTGAAGTGAAGTGGATGATGCATTTCCACAAGGGCTCACTCACAGAGCTGTTGACTGGAGACCTCAGTTTCTCACTGGCTGTTGGCAGGAAGCCTTGTTTCCTCACATGGATCTCTTCATAGGGCTGCCTGAGTGTCCTCAAGATATGGCAGCTAGCTTCCCACAGAGCAAGCAATCCAGAGAAGGAGATCAAAGAGGAAGCACAATGTATTCTATGGCTTAGTTTCAGAAGTCACACACATGCACTTCTGCCACATTCTGTTCATTAGAAGTGTCACTAAATACAACCCATTCTCAAGGGAGGGAAAATAGGTTCTACCTTTGAAGGGAGAATATCAAGAAATTTGTAGTTATATATATTATAACTGCACTATAGGTTCTGAGGAACATGTGAAGAACATGCAGGATTGTTGCATAGGTACATACATGGCAATGTGGTTTGCTGCCTCCATCCCCCTGTCACCCATATCTGGCATTACTCCCCATGTTATCCCTCCCCAACTCCCTACACCCCACTGTCCCTCCCCTAGTCCCCCCTCCACAGACCTCAGTGTGTGATGCTCCCCTGCCAGTGTCCATGTGTTCTCATTGTTCAACACCCACGTATGAGTGAGAACATGTGATGTTTAATTTTTTGTTCTTGCATCAGTTTACTGAGAACGATGGTTTCCAGGTTCATCCATGTCCCTACATAGGACATGAACTCATCATTTTTTTATGGCTGCATAGTGCCACATTTTCACTGTCCAGTCTATCATCAGTGGGCATTTGGTTTGGTTCCAAGTCTTTGCTATTGTAAACAGTGCTGCAGTGAACATTCGTGTGCATGTGTCCTTATAGTAGAACGATTTATAATCCTTTGGATATATACCCAGTAATGGGATTGCTGGGTCAAATGGAATTTCTATTTCTAGGTCCTTGAGGAATCGCCAGTGTCTTCCACAATGGTTGAACTAATCTACACTCCTGCCAACAATGTAAAAGTGTTCCTATTTCTCCACATCCTCTCCAGCATCTGTTGTCTCCAGATTTTTTATTGATTGCCATTCTAACTGGTGTGAGACAGTATCTCAATGTAGGTTTAATTTGCATTTCTCTAATGACCAGTGATGATGAGCATTTTTTCATATGTTTGTTGGCCTCATATATATCTTCTTTTGTCTGTTCATGTCCTTTGCTCACTTTTGAATGGGTTCGTTTTTTTTTTTCTTGTTAAGTCTCTTTTAGTTCTTTGTAGATTCTGGATATTAGCCCTTTGTCAGATGAGTAGATTGCAAAATTTTTTCCCATTCTGTTGGTTGCTGGTTCAGTCTCATAATTGTTTCTTTTGCTATGCAGAAGCTCTAGAGTTTAATTAGATCCCATTTGTCTATTTTGGCTTTTGTTGCCAATGCTTTTGATGTTTTAGTTACGAAGTCCTTGCCTATGCCTATGTCCTGAATGGTTTTGCCTGGGCTTTCTTCTAGGGTTTTTATGGTGTTAGGTCTTAGGTTTAAGTCTTTAATCCACCTGGGGTTAATTTTAGTGTATGGTGTCAGGAAGAGGTCCAGTTTCTGCTTTCTCCACATGGTTAGCTAGTTTCCCCAGCACCATTTATTAAACAGGGAATCCTTTCCTCATTGCTTGTTTTTGTCAGGTTTATCAAAGATCAGATTGTTGTAGATGTGTGGTGTTGCCTCCGAGGCCTTTGTTCTGTTCCATTGGTCTATATCTCTGTTTTGGTACCAGTATCATGCTGTTTTGATTACTGTAGCCTTGTAGTATAGTTCGAAGTCAGGTA